GTGTGACTGCGTAGGCTACGTAGCAGAACCGTCTTCAAAGCACCCGAGGGGTGGCTAATGACCCCTCTCTCTGTCTCTCTCTCTCTCTCGTTTTGCCGTGGAGTGCAGTCCATGTGCGTACATTGGGGGGAGAGAGCGGTTGATGTTGTGGGCTGTTCGCTGAATGTGCCACGACTCGAGTAACAACCTTCTCCTCCAGTCCGGCTCGCTTTCGAGGATGGCCGTCGCTTCGAAATTTATCTTGTGGTCTAGTGTCTCCGCATGTTCAGTGACTGCGCTGTGCTCTTTGTAGAACTTCCGCACATTGTTGGCGTGTTACTTTAGTCGTTCCGGTAGGTTTTTCGTCTCACCAATATATGATGCCGGGCACTCGTCGCACGGAATTTCGTAAACTACACCGGGGCTCCTGTCCATTGTTGGCCGGTCTTTCAGGCGGGGGAGGAGGCGGCCCAGCGTACACGAAGGCACGCGCGCGATGCGAACCCCCTCCCTCTTGAAGATCCGCGCCATCGTCTCGCTGGTTCCGTGAACGTATGGAACCGGTATGCGTTTCGGGGGGCTGCCAATCAAGGTTGAATGAGGTTTCCTAATCCTCTGTTGCTCTGCGCGGCGGGTGGCGGCTCGAATGAAGTTTTTTGCATATCCGTTTTTTCTGAGGTAAGCAATTACGCGGACCTCTTCTTTCTTTCGCTCTGTGTCATTAGAGCATAAGTTCCTGGCTCTCTCGAGTAGCATGGCCACAACCGAGGCCTTGTGGCAGGCGGGGTGGGAAGAATCGAATAATGGCGCTAATTTTTCAGGCCTTTGTACGTGATCGGGCAATAGTTTATACCAATTCAATTTGTTGATTCCTAACTACTGAAACCGGCAGGCGAATGAGCTAAGAAATGCATAGGGAAGGGGGAAAGGGGCATTATTTGCAGTCCTTTAAAGCGCCATTCAACAAGCTCCAACATTTTTTTACGGCCCCCAAAGAAACTCGGAAATTTGTAGAGTAGACCGCAGCGATCACGTTTTCCGAATATGGCATCCCTGCGCGCCACGCAGAGCATCCATTTCAAAAACCAGTTTCCGCGCTCCTTTCCTACGCCTGACCGATCCTTTTTCCACGCGCAGTACGTGACGCGAAGTCGCCGATCGAGGACTTGACGTAGCACGCAGGTCATCGATTGGTCTAAACCAGTCACGACGGGCTACGCCTTCCCCTCCCTGTTCTTCCCTGTAGAATTGAAAAGTGGAAAAGTCGTTCCTGTGTTTGAAGGAGATCTGCAACATTTTTTGAGCATGGTCAGAAAACACTACCGATCCATAGTATAGAGGCTCCCGACAACACGCGAGCCAAATATTATAGCGCAACACGCGGCCTGGAATTCACAATAAATGATCAAAGCAAGATAAAAATAGCTTTCTCCTATCTCGACAGATCACGGAAAATAAGCGCAGTAAGCCCATCTATCAGCCATTAGCTGATTTGAACATGGCGCGCTCGGTTGTTACAGACGTCGCCGCGAGAGGCCGTCACTTGTCCACGCGTGCGCACGCGATCGCACTGACAACACCACGTATTCGAAGAAAAAAAAGTAAAAATGCTGAAGGTCATGAGGTGCAAATGACATTTTCCGTTTGCCCCTCCCATCTTTCCCTGCTCAGCTTCGAGCGCTTTCGTCGGGACGAGAAAATAGAGAATGTGATTGCAGCGTGTAACAAATTTTTGTAACTCACTCGTACTGGACAGAATCTTGAAATTTTTGCGGCGTTCAATTTCTGAGATAATATGCTTTTCCAGTGAAATAAATCCATGGTTACTCAAAAAAAGTGTTTCAGGGCCTCTTTAAAAAAGGTGACCATACACAAATATCCAACTATTACCCATTTTCATCATACCTTTCTTCAGTAAAGTATTTGAAAAATTGCTCAAAACTCGCCTGGCCAGATACCTCAATACATACCAGGTTCTTTCACTTTCACAATTTAGTTTTTGTCGTTTTCGATTTATTTTTAACTGGAAAGTTAAAAGGGCAATAGACAGGGGCTTCTATGCAGGTTTTGTTCTTCATTGATTTTACCAAAGCATATTCGACACTACTAACCACTACATTCTTTTCACGAAGCTTGAAGCCATAGGTATAACTGGTCCTGCGCTAATAATAATAAAGAATTACCTACTCAATAGAAGTCAAGCTGTAAGTCTGCTAGGTTTTCAATCTGCACCAAAGGTAACAAATATTGGAGTACCACAAGGTTCTATCCTCGGCCAACTTATTTACATACTTTAAATCAGTGACCCGCCAGCTTCTCTTTCCACTTCAGAGCGCTTACTTTACGCAGTGACACAACAAATAATAACACTAATAACTGCCTCCAATCTCTGACACAGAAATTGGGTAATGATCTTTCAAGCTTGATTGCTTGGTGTTTCCATAATAAGCTACAAATCAAAACTAAACTTGCTGTTTTTCACTCACACCAACGTGAACATATTCATACCCCACCGATATATATAAATCAATTCGCACTTGAAGCAGATGAGGAGGCTACTTTATTGGAAATCCAACTTGTACGCAACTTGAAATTTCATTCGCATATTGCTTTCCTACGAAGACAAATGGCTTGCGGCATGCGTGTTCTGCTTAAAGCCCGTGATATATTTTCACAACCTACATTACTTTCATTGTGCAACGCTTTTATTCATTCTCACCTTAACTACTGTATCACATCATGGGGCTTACAATACTTACAGTAGTCATCTTGTTTCTCTCCAAACTAGGCAAAATCAAACTATAAGAATACTTACCCATAGGCACTTTCAAATTCAAACTAGGAATATTACTGTACAAGCAAATCAACAATCATCTTTCCTTGTTCATTGTTCCTCCATCTAGTCTAGCGACTACTAACTTGACAAGGTTTGCACATAATCAGAATTTAATTTTACTAAAGGTTCACAATAACTATGACAAACAAACAATTTACTTCAATGGAATCCATTTCTGGAATACTATGCCTCCGGCGATCAAAACATCGCAATCGATTGGCAAATTAAAAAAAAGAACTGAAGGCTTTCCTCTCATCTCTTTCATGATCTGGGTAGTTTATCGTCACTTCTGTTATTCTCCTTCCAATTCATATCATTTTGCAACATACGTAAAAGCATCGCATCATCCTCGTCCACTGCTGAAATAGATGTCACATTTTTTGTGTTCTTTGTGTATTGTTCAATGCTTTTTACACTGCATTCTACTGAAAACTGTCTAGGAGTGCTTAGTTACCTTTATTTTTTATCTAATCTTATTTTTGAATTTTGCACAATTTTAGAGGTGCTGAATTACCTTTATTTCTTGTATTGTCCGATTTTGAAATTTTGTTTATAATTATGAGCATTGACTTATTCTTTTTTGCATGTAGCCTAGTTTCGGCTTTTGCGTTCTTTTTCTTTCCTGCTTTTTTCTGTTATTTTTCTGAAATTGTTTTTTTTTCAGCTTGCATTGTAATTTTTGCTCATTGCTTGTACTGCTGTTTTACTAATTCAATTATTTTTTCTGTATTTATTACTGCAGGAGATCCCGATTCAGTCTTCGACATTGGGACCTCCTTCTGTATACAAACAGTTTGTAATGCTCCTGATGACATAACAAAATCATTTCTGATTCGATCTCTGAGGAAAAAATGTGGCGAGTCCGCGCAAAAATCAGAAACGAGCTGAAACGGACGTTTCAACTCCTGTAACTTACATATTATAGCACATATTCGCAAAATTCTTGCGGCAGCACCTTTACAAAGCAAAAGTGCACACATTTTTTTATAACAATTTCTTTATTTCGGGGTTGTTTACTGGCTCTTCTACTGTAGTGTAATGACTCCCACTATATCTGAAAGCAATTTAAGCGGACGAAAAATCACCCTTTTGGATGGTGGGGTCCCAACCCACATCCTTCGAATTATGCATCCGATGCTCTATACCATTTGACCTAAGACGAAAAGTCCTCATTTTCCTAGGTTATTTGTACGCGTTATTTCAAGATTGCAAGTTCGGATCCTTCCTACGGAAAGGGTGGCCTTTCGTCCACTTTTGTTCCTTGCAATTTGAGTGAGTATCATGGGGTTACTGTGTGGCCTCCAAGATGGCGGCGCGACGGGTTTCGCGCTCGCCATGCCGGAGGCCATGGCTACTGCAACGACACCACAAGTAATGTCCACCATGCTTCTCTTGGCTTAATTGCCCGTCAGTTTCATTTGTGCTTAATAAGGAAAACTAGCCCCCATGACAGTTTCGCTTCTTTTGCATTTCATTCATTTGTGTGCGTAATCAAAGTAGTTATCACATTAACTAGTAGAACCCGGTCACTTCTTAAAGAACTACTTGCAACGATAACCATTGTCAAACAGCCTCTTGCGGTTCTCTGTACTGTGACATATAAAAGCACACATTTATTTAGGCCGTATCACCATTATTAAGGCAAAATCCTTCGATGTCTCGCCATGCGCAACAAAAAAGTGAATATTGGCATCAGCGTGATCGATGCAGAAGAATCATTTTGGGGAGATGTCATTGTAACGTCACAGGACACAGAAAATATGCGTCACCATAACACCACTAGAAAGTTACACGATGATTTCATCACAATTTATGTACACGTTAATGTATCTCAGGTGGTCGACATTTCCGGAGCTCTCTACTAATAATATACCCGAGGTTTTTTTGTCTGAAACCACGAGTCATGAGAGACGCCATGGTGGAAGGCTCCGGAAATCAAGACCACCTGGTGTACTTTTTAACGTGCATCAACAGTACACTGCCTTTACCATTTCATGTCTAGCGAATGCAACCGCCATGGCCGCGGGATCGAACCCGCGACCACCAAGTCAGCAGCCGAGCAACAGAACCACCGATCCAGCGCGGTGGACGAAGTCCTCCACTACGGCGTTCCTCATAATAATACCATGATTCGGGGACTTCAAACTCCAAATGTTACAAAACAAGAGAGAAATTCGGGTGCCACCTTTTTGACGTTGGGGAAGATAGGCACTCCGCTGATCGGCTGGTCTTTCTCGAACCGTAGCTTCCACCTGCGTATGATTCGAAATTATCTCATTATTACGCCCCGTAAGTGCCTGAAATAGAACTAGAAGAGTCGAGTGATTTGAATGTATACGTGGGAAATAAATAAATTTGACAATTTCAGGGCACTTAGTACATCGGACTAAGTGCCATGCCCGGCCACAACGTATCTCCATACCCATTGAGTAGATTTGCCCAAACTGTACAGCTGAAGCGTCCGTGGCTACCGTCGAGCACTTATTACGGAAATGCCCCTGCCTGGACGAGATACGATGGCGGTACGTGAAAACAGTGGACCTTTATCCAGCGAGACCACCGGACTATGATTTGCGGTTGTATGGCTCCAGCCATAAAGTGCTGCTATTAATTATCGTGAACACCGGCCTCCATGTACATATTTAGTTATGAATACCGTTGGATAAAAGCACGAAAATTTTTTTATTAAAAAAGCACTGCCTCCATTATGGTCTCTGAAGAAAGCGCGCTGACCTCTGAAAGAAACCGAGCTAAGACGCAAAGTTTGCACAAGCAGAAGTTTCAGGAACATGGATGCTTGAAGAATTGAAAAGAAAAAAAAAATATGGGCATCTTGCTCTAGTAGTGCGCGAATGGGGATATTGCGAAGCTCGACTCAAGTCTATTCACACATATTTTAATGCACGAGCGTTCAAGCATCACCTCAATATTTACTACCAAGGCATGAATTAAAGGGGCCCTGCAACATTTTTTGTGCATGGTCAGAAAACGCTGCCAATCGGTAGTAGAAACTTCCGACAACATGGGAGTCAAATATTATAGCGCAGCGCGCAACCTGGAATTCACAATAAATTATCGAAGCCAGCTAAAAATTGCTTTCTCTTCGCTCAAAAATCATACGTAGCAAGCCCTTTTATTAGCCATTGGCTGATTTGAACATGGCACGCTCGGTCGATACAGAGACCGCCTCAAGAGGCCGCGACTTATCCACGCGTAAGCGCCCGATTACACTAAAAAAGCCGCATTTTCACAGAAAAAAGAGAAAAGTTTTCAAGGTCACGAGGCACGTACATGACGTATTTTAGTTGCTCCTGCAATCCCTCTGTGCTTAGCTTTTAGTGCCTTCGTCCGGACGAGAGAAAAAAGAATGCAATTGCAGCGTGCGACAAATCTTTATAATTCCACTCGTACTTGACGGATTCTTGAAATTTCGCCGTGTTGAATTTGTGAGACAATATGCTTTGCGAGTGAATTAATTTCATGGTTACTTGAAAAAGTGTTTCAGGGCCCCTTTAAAAGGAGGGGTTACCATGGAGGGGTAAGCAGAGGAAGGGGTTGCCAGTGAGTGAGTGAGTGAGTGAGTGAGTGAATGGAGTGAGTGCGTTAAGTGTGTGTACGGGCACGATATCGCTGTAGCGTTCAAGAGTCTTCAAGTTTTTATGTTTTTAGACACAGTTTGAGAGCCCTGTGAGTTCGAGCATCCACCAGCAATGCGGGAGGCACCGGGTTCGAATCCCAGCTCCTACAGCCGACGCTGCGACAGAAAGTACCTCTTCTCGCCAATGTGATCTGGGTGCGTCCTCTTCCAGAGCCTCTCCACTCCTTCCTCGTCCTCGTTCCGGACCCTGATGGCGCGGAGTACCACAGAGGACCTGCGCGGCTGGCAGTTGCCATCCACTGCAAGGACACATCAATTTGCATTCAAATGTGCTGCTCAATAATAATAATAATAATAATAATAATAATAATAATAATAATAATAATAATTGAGTTTTGATATGCCAAAGCATGTCACACATTTTTAAGGCAAAAACCTTAGATGAACATTAAAACAAACCATGAAACTGTTTCTTTAGTTCTTTCAGAGTTTAGGCTAGAGCACCATCAAAACCATTCACACCACAAATACAGCGGCACGTCACAGTGTACCAAGGCCGCTACAGACAATTATATTATACACTCCCTCCCCCGCCTGCCTAGCCTCCTCGACTCATGAGACACGCTGGCGATTGCGGAGCCTTCATGAGCGCACTGCACGATTTGAGCTTCGACCAGGCATGACCCCCGAGTTTGCACACAGATGGGTTACGTGCAATCTTAAGGCAATAGCGTTGGCCACCCGGCGGCACGCACGCCGTCTGGCAACAGAGACGAACATCGTGGAGTGGTTGATATCTGCTCCAACAGCTGCCGCCATCCATCCCCACCAGCCGATCTTCCATACCCAATCAGATCAGCAGCCTGGGTGACGTCACGTGAATTGGCGGTTGAATACGGGTTTGGCTGAGTCGCAGTAATCCAAGGTGATTCGTCGCGTTGAAGAGTAGTAACAAGCTACACAGACTAACAGTTCATGCAGAGAGCTTGGCTCAGCCTGTAAATAACCCTTAGGACTTTTCTACCGGTTCAATATATTTCTACAAAATTCTCAAAACCATTTCAGGGTCCCTTTAAATGAAACAGCGAATTAGTTTGCATGGGTTAATAATACTGTGGAACTATATCATCGTGTATTTCACCAACACAACTTTAATATTAGAAAAGATCAAGGACGAAGTCTCGTGCTGAAATGCTCCCCATGAGAACGATACTAAATTTTACTATTACAACTAGCGTTATTTACAATATGTATCCACACAACTATGATCACCACCAATCACGATCTCAAAGTTGGACAGCCACGCCTCAGATCCATACCTGATCAACACCTTACAAATTATGATCACCAGTAATCCCCATTTTAGTCAGACGCCTGCACCTCAAACCCGCACCCGAGCAGCACCATGACAAAGACATGATGTTTTAAGGCGACAGTTTTAGATGCGTCATCAAACGGGAAACTGACCTCCGCCGACGCCCATCCTGCTATGTAGAGAACGAGTGATCATAAAAAATCATCACCAGATGACGTCATGTCACAGATCGCAGCTAATGTCACCACCATGACGTTACAAATTTTGCCGTGGCCTCCACGGTGCCGTCCCTTGGGTGGCGAAGAAAACCGGAGAGCACGCTGCCTCGAGAGAAGAAAGTGACGATGGCACATGGCAGTGGCACCCGAAGCCATGGCTTGTTTTCTCCATTCCGTATACCAGAGTGTACTGCCGTATTTACCCAATTCCAACACGCACCTTCTTTTGTGAAAAATAGACCTTACAATCACATGAGCATTAGATTCAGGTACCAATGGTTAACTTCCCCATAGCTGTATTTCTGTTTTTGGATCGTGTAACTCCGGGCGCGCGTTGGAATTGGGTAAATACGGTAGTACAATTATACAACCGAGATGGCAAATATGACGGCTTTCACCCACGACTTAACTTAGGTTAACGGAGAAGAGGGTATGCCGAGTTTTATCAAACAGCATTGATCAGCTCAAGCAGCTTATGTGTAACTATCAGAAACCGCTCAGTTTAAACGAGTATGTGATTAGACATCGTCGACATTCATTTCATATTTTTGCATATGTGACTCTCAAATACTCCCAGTGTGCAGTAAAAAAAAAAAACTCAGCGTCTTTACTGGCGGGCCAAGTGCCGCCATGTTATGGTATTGTTCAGCGTAGCTTGCCACCGTCTTGCCCATCGCGCCCCTTGATGCAGCTCACCATTGTAGAACTTGGCGAACACGACGACTGTGGACTCGAGCGCGATGCAGCTGCTACGTGGCGAGAAGTTGTACTCTGGATCATCCGTAAACTGTGCAAGTCAGACAAAAGACCAAAAGAGTAACATTATATGTACCGCTGTGATGAATGAAGTTATTAGGTTTTTTTTCATGTGGGAAGCTTCAACTGAGTCGCGCAAAGCTTGGCATTGCGAAAAACGGGCACATTGCCACTCACTAGACAACCTATTCCTCTATATTGCTTCTAGATCTCAGCGACCATCTTGGTTTCTCTTTAGCTTTTCCTCTTTCTCCCCCTTCGCTCTGTTTTTTCTGTCTTTGTGTATGTTTATATCGATTTTTTTACTTCACTTCATTTTTCTTTATTTATCCTGTCTCTTATTCTTCTCATTTTTTTTCTGTATTCCTTTTTTTTCCCCATTTTCATAAGCTATGCTTTAACATCTCTCACCTCCTTTCCATTTTCCTCAACCTCAGCAGGTTCTTTAACATGAATGTGCTTTATGCCGTGGTCCACCACAGCTCTGCTGATGTATTTTCGTCACGGATATGACGTAGTAAAATATATACTAAGAGATTGCAAGCAAGAAAAAAATGGGCAGATCCCTCGTATCTGGGAATCCACGTTATGCAAAGCATGAAGAAGAAAGGTGACCATGTAGCAATTTTTTATTGGGAGACACGTCATGAAATGGCGCTATATTAATGTACAAATGTGGCACACCCAGACATATGTTGAAGAGTTGCAGATGTTTGTATAACCAGTTGTTTGCACTTGTGCAATGATGCCAAATGGAACATGCATATTAGCAACACCACAAGCTCATATGAAGCGCTGATGCTCACAAAGATGCTTGCCCTGGACACTGCAACATAAATCAACTTCAGCGCATGGCAACTAACTACATCTGACGTTAACTGACGTGACGGCTGTATCAAAATAGTACATATGCAATGTTTATAAAATTGGGTAGGCAGCACTTAAATCACTATTACCGTTTCACGAAGATAAGCGTATATTTAAGAAGTAGTTCTGAGACCTGGCGTAGCTCTGTGGTAAAATGCTTCATTGGCACCCAGAATGCTTGGGTTCGATTCCACCTTCGACTCGTCGGGTCGACGCTACCGATGTCGGGTATTTCTTAACACTAACGCTTTAAAACTGTCCATGAGTGTTCTTGTCGTTCCTGAGGAGATACCAAGTGTCAATCACCTGTGGCACGTACCCGCATACCAGCGGCACATACCCACCCGTGGGTATGTGCCACTGTCTTGCGGAAAGTGTTTGAAGAGGTACGCGACTGGATTGTGACATTATTCGTGTCTTGACAAGCGCATCGTATTCGTCAAATCATCTTACCCTCTCGCGCTAATTTTGGTTCACACCAAGTAAATGGAGTGACCGCAAGAGGACCCAAACGTAAGCGGCTATCTAAACAGATAGATATGCTCAACGTCTCTGAAGCTCGCTAAGAAATGCTTCGCATTTAAAACGAGGTGAACAAGTTCCATAAGACGGCATCGAGCCAGCAACCTTTTACTTTGCAGCGCGCGACGCAAGCAACTAAGCCACGGAGCGTACGTTGTCGAGCTTGTTACGGCAAGCCATTTATATACACCATATGTCATTGGCAGTCCTCAGAGCTCCTCAATTTCACCGTGTTTTCCTCATCAGTTGCGCTTGGCATGTCGCACCGGGCTCGCGTCGGTCGCCTCTTGCGTTTCTTGGAACGTGCATCTCCACGGGGCATGATCTCTCCTGCTTGCATGCTTATGAGACACGTGATTCAGGAGAGCCCGACGGTCACTTCGCTCGCTGCCGTGACCAATATTACGAAAGGAGCACGCTGCTCACGTACAATTAGGTAAGAATTGTCACAATGTTCCCGCTTGTCCTTTGTATAGACGCCGCTTGTCCTTTGTATAGACGGTTTCAAAATTGCAAGCGTTGTACTCCAAAAACTTCAGGTCACCTCATTTGCCAGCTCCTGATGTCGAAACTGCCACCAAGATTGCAAGTTTTTTTGAAGAGTAAGAAAGAAATCTCTGTAGTTGTTCTATAAAAAGAGCAGGCTTAAAGTTCAAGGGAATCACTTGTAATTTTATATAGCTCAAAAAGGCATTCATTTAAAAACATTTGGCCAAATAAGAGGAGAAAATTGTAGAAAATCATCGGGCTATTTTTTATAAAGCTCTTCTTTCCCAACAATGCTATTGCATTACATTGGTTGACGAAACCGGATGTTACCAAGGGGCTGTGTTTGTAAACAATGAAAGGGTCTGTACCTGTGCGTTTGTTTCGTGCGCCTTTCTGTTTGAGCAGCGTGCTTTGAGTGCTGTGTATGCTCATTTCGCGCATGCTTTTTGCTAGAGGTACACATTGTACATTTCGAGCTGCTTGCCGTTCTTCCCATGAAATTGCAATTTGTTGTAGCATTCATTCCTTCGCCCTTGTGGCGAAACAATGCAATATAAACGCGTAACTACCTTAGTGAAGACACGTTTCACTTTCGTGTTTCACTTTCCTGATCATAAATATCGGAATCAATTTTGTTTTTTTGTTTTTATTCTGATAGCAATTATATGAACACTCTCGGCTGAATTTTGCCGACGGTGTCCGCATGAACGTCGATGTGATGCGCCGTATATGTATAGGTACCGATATATACGAAAACACATGAAAGAAAAAGGTCCGAGAAAAAATATTGGCCCCGCATCTGCATGTTAATCTGCAGATGTCGTCGAAAGACAATAGTCTTGAGTGTAGAGAGAGTGAACAAAACATTCGTTTGATGTTCTGCGCAAGAAAATCGGTGAATGGTATTCTAGAGGCGCTGCGTTAGAGTGCCTCGAGCGTGCAGCGGAGGCAAATGAGCGCATCAAGCACGTCAAATGTGAGACATGAGCGTCATCTGGCAGTTTTTTCGGAAAACGAAGCACGTGGTTCTGAGACGGTTGTGCGCGCCCGTCTCAGAGGTGTAGAACGCAAAACAACGGGTAGGTGCCACCACCGTCTCGTTTTAGCAAAGCATTTGAAACACTCGCATTTTCGTGCAAGCGTCGCATGGTCAGCGCAACGTGATAAGCCCTACGGTCCTTACTATTACTTATGTATGCCTTTTCTAGTAAAAGGCGCACATGCAGAATATACACGTGTTGTTATAGTGTCCCACACATGCGCAATAATTGCTTTTTATATGACAATTGCACAAGTATGAACGCTAAAGCCTGAGCAACATTGGTGGGCACTGCGGATGGGGTCAACCGTTTCAAATACCCGGTTCCGATAAGAGTGGACAAACAGACAAATACACAGACAGACAGACCAAAATTTTTGTGTCGAAGGTCCCCAAGAAAGACTATCGCCTTTAAAAGACTCCAGAGCGCGGAATGGAGCATGGGACCTACGCGTCACGAATGCGAGGCTTTAAACCCTAAGCCACAGAGCGGTACTTCTTTTAACATGTAAACGGCAAGCTATCCATATCTACCATGCCGCTGTTAGCGGGCATCTTGGGGAGAAGATGCTCGGTAACAGTGGTGCGCTAGCCTTGGGATTTCTGCAACAGCGTGAACTAATAGCCTTAATTCCGTTTCTGGATGGGGAGAGAGGGGGGGGGGGGGGCTGTCCTTATTGCAACAAATGAATTGTTCGCAATGCACGTTTACTTTTATGGCTCATTCTGAGAATGTGTAGTAGGCCGCCCTGGCTAACGTTTAGTAAAATATAGCGTCGCAAATGAAGTCGAAGGTCACAACGCGAGTGTTCTGCATGTTTTTGAGCTAGTCACAGTGATATCTAATGCAAATTCACGCAAAAGAAAAACATTGGACGCAAGTTCTTACACAAAAGTTGACCGTTCGGCTGCTTCTGTTGGTGATTTCGATGGTGGCCTTGAGAACTTCTATTCCACGCTCACGCTGCGGATGCCTAAACGTTAACACGTCCTTTGGTCTGCGCATGCGTAAGAAAAGAGAAGAGTAAACCGGGAAACAGATTTTTATCCACTTGATAGGCACGGTCATGAGCAAGATGAGATTGTAACAGTGAAACAACATTTTGAAGGTCACAGCGGCTAAACACAGACTTGCCAATCGGGAAAAAAGTGTTTGTGACGCTAAATGATCAAACCAGATGGTACCTCAGTCAATGCATCACAAATCACATCAGCATACAAGAAAACGTCGATTCAATGTGACGGTTCTCACGATACACGTACTAGGCCAGCAGTGAGAAAATTATTTTTTTTCCGAGCCAGAGACTTGTTGAAGGCCCTAACTATTTTCGAAAATCGCCTATTAGATGCGAAGCAGCTTTTTGACTAGCCTGTGTAACGCGCTGTCCCTCCGTCCACACCATCCCCCGGGCCACATGTGTTAGAGTGATGCCAAATAGCTCAAGCCCTCCCAGCAGTGCGCAATGACTTCTCTCCCAGGCCTGCCACGCGCTCGCCGCGTGTCAGCTCTCTCACACTTCCCCCTCTCCCCCACTCTCCCCCACTCCTCACGTGGGCATTCTTTCACCTGCGCCACCTTTCTCAATCTGTCGGCGAGAAGCCGCACATGTCTAGAATCTCGTGGCACCGACAATATGAACAACGTGCCGCTGCTTGCCGCGCGATCGCGCCGACGGGTGGGACGTTGTCGCGGCATGATTCCCGCTAGTATGCGCGTACCTTTCCCGGCTGTCACCGACGTCGCGAAGGTTGAGGCGCGTTCACACTTGGCATTGAAGGCCACATTCACATTTGGGAAGTGAAGAGAAAACGAAAATGCCAGAGCAGCCGGAAAACCACGACCGCGTGCGTCGATGTAGTTCACATTCGTTCTGCCCTATTCCGCCACCACTGCCATTGCTATCTTGACAATTAATTCGATTTTGCCTGCTTTCTGATAACTAAAGTTCGTATTCAAGTTATTACCACAAAGTAGTGAAAGGAAACAGCTCGCACCTTTTCAAGCGTTGTCTCGGCTCGGGAGATACGTCAGCAGAAACGACACGTTCAATTGATTTCCTCTAAAAAAATTAACATTTATCGTATGGTGCTCGTGCGAAAACGTACATGTTGAGTGCGCTTGTGAAACTGAAACCGAAATTACACAAAAACAGACTACGCGTAGTAACACATTTGCAGAAGCTCCGCTCATGTAGCTTTGGCTGTGCTGCCACCGAAAGTTGTCGCAGACTACATAGCTAACTCACTCGTTCATTCACTCAATTATAATTTTCCTTAGTCAAAAAACAAAGGATGGGACCAAAAGCCACACAAACGTCTTCATAATATTCGTGGCTCCTAGTTACATGGCAGTGCAGTTGTACTAGATCACTTGTGGCAATTCAGTTAACTAAAAGTGACAACTACGCAATGGTTAGCAAAAAAAAAGTAGCCACACTTCAGCTAATAAACATTATTCATTAATACATTATTGATGCACTCATGAAACTGCAATACATGTAAACATATCTATTTACATAAAGAAGAAACATCTGTGCCAATATAAACAAAATATAAACATATTGTAACTCCAACGAAATAAAAATTTATCAGCCCGATGCATTGCATGGCATGCTTGACTCCAATTTTTCCTGTTCATTCCAACTGGAATGTGAACGAAATCATTTTGCAGGCGACAAACATAATTCATTCCCAGCCACACCCATTCCCTAGCTTCAGTGCCCACAGTCTTTAACAAGTCTCTTTGAATGTGGTCTCCTTGGTTCACGCACACTAGAACACAGCATGGTACCACTGCATCGCGAACATAATGCTAATTTTGTAGCACACCTGGACTGCTAGTACATAGCAAGTTCATTGGATTCAAGCAGTTGATTGATATGTGGGGTCTAACATCCCAAAACCACCATATGATTATGAGAGATGCCGTAGTGGAAGGCTCCGGAAATTTCAACCACCTGGGGTTCTTTCACGTACACCCAAATCTGAGCCCACAGTCCTACAACATTTCCGCCTCCATCGGAAATGCAGCCGCCGCAGCCGGGATCCAAACCCGCGACCTGCGGGTCAGCAGCCGAGTACCTTAGCCACTAGACCACCGCGGTGGGGCTAGATTCAAGCGGTGAACTCGAGAATCACTCAGTAGAATGGCACCTGGAGTGCCTTTTCAGCACAGCGCAAGATTTTTCCCCTCATCAGCTCTGCACCACGAACAATGCTTGCTTTACTTTGTAGTCTAAGAACTTGAGCATTGACCAGAAGTGAAGCATCACTCACTGCATTAACTAATCAACCATGTCACAGATGCCAAGCAAATCTCAAAGTGCAGAAAAATTAAATGTATAGAATCTTAGTGGCTGTTTAAATAGTGGTGACTGCAAGTATATTTCACCTGTAGTTATGTTCCAAACTGAGCAGCCCATTCCGCCAACACGCCCGAAGGTCATCAGTAGAAGCCGCGACCCCAGAATCCCATATTAATGCTGGACATTCCCATAGGCTGTGGTCAATAGTGGCTCTGGTAGTAGGGTACTGGCATAGATTGGTGCTATAGACTTTGGGATATATGTATTGCATGTTGAGGGGGTTCCAGTATGTGCGTGTTTGTAGCTGCCGTCATTGAACAGACTGGGCCCTATTTGAGTTCGGGCAAAGCGGAGGGTACTTTTGCCTTAGCATCCGATAGTGTTGAGTTATGTCACAAAATTTAGTAAGCCAATCGTCCTATTCTCATACCATTGCAAAAAAAGTATGCTTAGGCGGCTGCGTCGCCTAACATGGCTCGGAACGTAACACCTCGAGCCACATTGTGCATCACTTCCTCTTGACAGAGAATTTTTTTTTACAACTAATATTAAGTTGTCGTTATTATAAGTGTACATCATTCCCTCCTACACTACCATTATTATAAGTGAATATCATCACCTGACTTACTGCATCTCCGCATATCAGGTAAATTTTAATCACACTTTTGTTGTTATTGTTTAATTGTGTATGCTAAGAGGTGTTCCTTTGTTAATTTTATTATAGTGTGCCTTCCTTATATAGGACCGTTTAGTGTTCACACTTGCACAGGCTTAATACATATGGCGATGGACACCTCTTTCATATTCATGTAATCGAGTTTCAGCTACAAAATCCTGTAACAAACATTATTCAGAGGCCACACCGAAGTGTTTGGAACCTTAAAGATTGTTGCACACTGTTAAAATTACATACAGGACTTCAGTAACCAAGTTTATTCAAGAGCTAATGCGAGTGCCAGTAGTAATGCTGGAAAGTTTGATAAGGCATGTATAAAAGCCGATGCACTTAGCATACAAGCAGATCAGTCGAAGACTGCTCTGTGCTCACCATTACCATTGTACGGTAAGTATTGCTTGCACGTTTAGCCGGAACAAACTAGCCCGATAAAGAGTAGTCATCTGTACCAGTTTATGTTCTGCAAACGTCATAACCAACACCACATAATATCAAAATTAAAACCTGATGCCCTATCTTTCAAAACATAAGCCATCATGTAGCAGAGTTCCCGAAATGTGAGTTTATCAAGCATGTTACAGGGCCAAAAAACTAGTCAAGTAGCACAACCCATTTGACAGCACAAAAGTCATTCTGACACCCTTCACACTGTTGTCCCTTTGTGCTCATTTAAGTGTGATTTCTCCTTACAGTTACAAATCAAACCGAAATGTGCATATTACTCCATTATTTTTTTTACAGGAAACTGTATTCTCGTGTTGGTAGTGCTTATAATGTCATTGCTTTTGTTGCTGCATGCTTTGAGTGTGTGCCTTCAGGTCCTGGAGAGCCCATCAAGCAGAGCACATCTGCCTTTTGCCCTTGTAGCTGAGACTTTTTGTTGTTTGAAATGAAGAGCTGCATTATAGGTGGCAAATTATGAGGAAGACGTACGGGTCCAGCGGTGTCTGAAGGCCAGATTATACTCAGTGTGTCTGAGCTGTCAGCATGTAATCTTGTGAATGCTTGACTTCAACTTGAACCTGGCTTGTGTTAAACAGGCTGGCTGCTGGCATCTTTTTTGTCAGAGCCAGTTTTTCAAACACTGTTAGACGGAGTTATACAGAAGTGAAATGGTTTTCGTCTGTGCAGTGCCTTATGCACAATAAAGGTTATTTAAGCAGTCGCTGCTTATCAGTGGCAAAACTCCTGGGAGGGTCACGGAGGTCCTTATCCCCCATGTGTTCAGTCTGGGCGGGACACCCCTTACAAGTTTCCCCCCTGAAGTTCAATTTTCAAATACCATATCTGAACTTCTTGATGCGCACTCTCCGTGAGACCAGCTCTGAAATCTTAAACCCTCGCTATGAACAGACACAAGCTACAAAAGTGAAAGCTGCCTGTACTTTCATAAAGTACTCCTGCAAAGCCTGGGCTTTTCGCAATGCTACGGGTCACTTCTGATGTGCCGCAAATGTTTATTACGCTGACTTTTAAAATGAAAATTATTGAGTACCCAATCATTTACCTCTACTTATGTGGACGATTGGTTGAAAGTTATTCACAATAGAGAATAAATCATATTGCCTGAATATGACTGCTACTGAAACAGAAATTACCGGTGAAGATAAAATCGCTTTACAAGAAAGTTTTTGGGGACAAATCATGGAGACTATTTCTAACAGGTGTGCACAATGGGGAAAGGAGATAAAAAAAACAGTAGCTCTACGCATTATTACATGAGTGCTAGCATATGTCTTTGATGGTTTAACCAAAATGAAATGGCTGGAAGGAACAGGAGAGGAAGGAAACAGAGATGTTAACCAGTCTCGGAAAACTAGTACTCTACCCTATACAAGTAAAAGGCATAGGGGAGCTAGAAAGCGATAGAAACAAAAAGGGGCAGCTGGAACTATAGTACAGTTATGCTTAGACACAGAAGTTTCTTTTCGATTTGATTTGAAAGAATCATTTCAATTTTTATATAATAAAAGCAAAACATTTTCTAAAAACAAAACGGCTGCCATCGCACAATTTG